ACTGTAGGCCAACCTCTTCTACCTCATTCTTCAAAACCCAGCTCAAGCATAACCATTACAGAGTTTTACAATATACTCCAGGACAGCTGTAGTTACCCCTTAGTACCACAGTACCATATTTCATCTATGCCTCTATTGTACCTGAAGTACTAAGAAAGCACCACCTGAGGTGCTAAAGATACAGTGGAGAAGAGGACAACTGTGCCCTTGAAGGGATTATATTTTGGTGAGGAGAAAAGTAAAAAATGTGTAAGATGGTGAGAAGTGCTATGGAGAACACTAAAGCACAGCAGGGCAACAGCATACCAGTGACATAGTGGTGGTAATTTTAAATAAGGTGGTCATGAAAAGCCTGACTGAAGTTATGTTTGAACAGGAATTGAAGTTTGAGGTGTTAAGGAAGTATTGGGCATGGGTCTATAGTCCAGAGAATAGAATCCAGGTTGAGAAATGAAGGTAATAACGAACCAAAAGCTCAAATCGAAGTATCCATTAAACTGGGTGAAAACGTTCATGTGTGGTGTCCAAAAGATAAAATATCTGTCCTAGTTTTCAATTGTTGCTTTAAGAAGTTACCATAAACTTAAGTGACTTAAAACAAATTATCTTACAATTCTGTAGAAGGCCCACATGGGATTAAAAGAGTGTTGGCAGGATAAGTTCCTTCTCAGAGAATGTTTCCTTGCTTCTTCCAGGTACCCCAGGCTGCTCACAATCCGCTGATTGTGGCCCATGCCTCCATCTTCAAAGCTAGCAATGTTCCATTCCTCTAACCTCGGCCAGAAAAGGCTCTGCTAAAAAACTGCTACTAGATTAGACTCTCCCAGCTTATCCAGGATATTCTCATCTAAAAATCCTAACTACGGGGATGGGAATATAGCTCAGCGGTACAGTGCTTGCTTAGCATGCACCACACCCTGGTTTCAATCCCCAACACTGCAAGAAAAAAAATCCTAAACTTAATCACATCTTCTAAATCTCTCACCATTTAAATCCAAGGATTTAGGATGTGAACATCTAGGGGGGACACTATTCTGCAAATTAACTGAAGCATTTTAAAGGAGTCAACTATGTTGTGTTGATGTCAAAAAGTTATGAAGAGCTGGGCATGGGGGCACAGTCAGCATCACCATGTCATGTTCAGCATTCAGGTGAGGCAGAGAATTAACCTTGAGTTCAAGACCAACTACATAGTGAGTGAAGGCCAGCTCGAATTACATTGTGAGGCTGTCTCAAACACAAAAAAAGGTATGAGAATTGACCATTGTACAAAGTACCATGGAGGTTCTAACAATCTATTAGCAGACCCCATGGAGTAAAAATCTCTGAAGTGGATGCAAGAAAAAAGTAGAGCATATAGGTTGCGTTTTGCTACAAACGGAAGCAGAACGGTAGTTCTTGGGTCAAATGGGGGTTTTGATATAGAAGAATTAACAGAATGTTTGTAGGCTGATGCAAAAAATCTAGCAGAGGGGCCGGGGATTTAGCTCAGTGGTTTCGCTGCCTGCTGCGCAAGCGCAAGGACCAGAGTTCCATCCCCGATACCAAAAAAAAAAAATCTAGCAGAAGCAAAAGTTAATGAACAGGACAGATGATTGAGTAAATCCTGGTCCTTTACACAGGTAAGGGGTAGAATCTACAGGTAAGGGGTGGAAGCGCTTGCCTTAAATAAGGAAAGGCCAATCTGTCTATAGTAACTAGAAGAGAGCACAGATGCAGGTGGGTGGGTAAATGTGATGATAGGAGCCTGTGGAAATTTTTCTATTTTCTAAATTTAAAAACAGGTCAGAAACGGAGGATGGGAAAAGGCGCTAAAAATTTAAGTCTTAGCTGGCATTTTGGTATATACCAATAATCCCATCTACATGGGGAGCTGAGGCAGGATTAAGTTTGAGGACAGCCTGGCCAATTTAGCAAGACCCTGTCTCAATTTTTTTAAAAAAAGAACAGAGATGTAGCTCAGCGGTAGAGTGCTTTCCTAGCATGCACAAAACCCAGGGTTCAATCTCCAGCACACACATACAAAACAAACAAAAAAAATCATGTCTTTAAGAAAAAAACAGCTGGGCATGGTGGCACATAATCCCAGCACTTGGGGGGCTAAGACAGGATTGCCACAAGTTTGAGACCAGCCTTGGCTACATAGCAAGGTCAAGGATAGCCTGAACTACACAGCAAGTCCCTATCTCAAAAAACCAGACCAAAGAGCAAATAGGATAGAGCAAAGTAGTAGGATTGAAATGATATTAAGGTCTACATGAGGTCAAGACATCAGAGACTAGGACCGGGCATTTAGCTCAGTGGTTTCGTTGCCTGCTGCGCAAGCGCTAGGACCCGAGTTCAATCCTCAGTACCCAAAAAAAAAAAAAAAAAAAGACATCAGAGACTGAACTATCATGTTCATTTGCAAAAGTGTCTCAAGTGCAGAGAGTGGAGTACTGAACTTATACAAAAATGGAGTTTGGCCACTATAATGAGGCAAGGCAATTTTCTGTATAGCCAGGATTATCAGAACAGGCCACAGGATCTATACTATGCTGAGAATGAGGTAAGGACACAAGAATTAGGCAACAAAACCAAAGAATTTTAAGTAACAAAGTACAACCACCCATTGTAACTGCTTATGTCTACTTATCTGATTCCCCTCTCTAGACTTAGTGAGTTCCTCCAAAGTGGAATCACTGTCTTGTCTCAGCATGCAAATTTGCTATCTGAATCTCCCAAGATATTTTCAAAAATTCATTTGGAATGAGATGCTGAACTGTTTTTTTTTTTTTGGTACCAGGGATCAAACTCAGGTCCTTGCGCTTTCGCAGCAGCGGTGAAACCACTGAGCTAAATCCCCGGCCCCTGAGATGCTGAACTCTTTATGTTGTTGGGTCCAAAACTTGAACTAGAGAATGTACCATTTGTATGTAAACTATGATAAAATTTTCCTTTATTGAACACCTGGATAGCAGGAATTCTTTGACCTTCCCAATCTATTTCAATTCCTTGAAGTAAATTAGGACTCAAAACAGGCCTTGAGAATAGGAAGGAGAGAAAGGGGAGCAGACATAAACAAGACTCAATGTGGGGGTAGATAGAAAAATGCACAAAAAGCATGTAAAATATGTTTTATTGTTCTTTAAAAGGGTTCAGAGTTTGGTTTTAAATCAGGCTGCACACCTTTCATCAGTCTTGACATCTCTCTCACCAGTCAAACCGGCTTCAGCTAACAATACTTCATTTAACCCAAAAGAAAAAACTGTTCTAATTTTTAGGAAAAAAATCCAATTCTGAGAACAATTAACATTATTCTGTAATTTAAGACAAAATGAGGGCTAATGTTTCTTGTTGCTTTATACATACTTCTCATACAGAACCAGGAATGTAATTCTCCTAACTCAAGCAGGCACTGATACTGATGGAACACTATCGAGCCACACACAAGCAAACATGTGCGCGTGTACCCACAAACACATGCGCACATGCATACATGCACACACACACACCACACTCTCTCTTCCTCCAAACAACAAAATTCAGAGCATGTCAAATGGAAAAGGTTTGTGATGGTATTGACCAAAACCCTTGGAGTCAACAGTCTATCTGAATTAGAGGGTATGATGTTTTGACCTTGACTCTATGACAAAGAAATCTATTGTCATGTTCAGAAATAAAATTTTTGTATAGTACCATCATTTTTTACTTTAAAATTCTAGAAACAATGTCAAAAATCATTATTTTGTTTTGTTTCCTGGGATGAGAGAGGAGAGAATCTAGATTTGCATTTAGCTAAAAAATCAAAACAACTCCGGCAACAGGAAATAGGCAGTTCACATAGCCGGCCAACATCTGAGGTATCATCAATGTGAGACAAGGTTCCAGTCCATTTCTACGGCCCAGCTGATACTTACAAAGTGGGACCTTTTGGCTCTGCACAGTACTTCTGGCAGGACAAGATGACTCTCAGCCTGTACTCAGAGCCTTCCAAGCAGGGCATGGTTAAGTATGTAATAGTTAAGTGAAAAGAGAGCAGAAACCCCTGATGGTGCCCCTCCACTTGCTCTGTCAATACACTCTGGTTACAACTGCCTTCCACAAATAAGGAGATAAACAGCTTTTCTAGATCAACACATTGAATCCAGCTGGGAATTTGCAAAAAATTGCTACTCCACCATTTCACAAGCAACACAGTCCAACACTCATTGGGTTACCTGATGTCTCTCTTCTACCCTGTTAAGAGCCTGTGGACACCTACTCACTAGGCATTGGTGGTTCTGAACCAGTGATTTTTTTAAATCTCAAAAAGAACCTAGTAAGAAAATAACAAGGCAATCAGTACTTAAACTGAACTGTATATATAGGGAGAAGTCTGGAAAATAACCACCACAGGCATTTCTCAAGAACAAAATATTGTAAATTTGCTGTTGCTCCTTTGACCATTTCCGAAAATTCAGAATACAAATAATTTCTAAAATAAAAATTTTAAGCTACCAGCATTCTCTGACATCATAAGACAGAAAATCAGAGTAGTGCTATAGCCCACAGTTGAAAAGTTTGTAGAAAGTGTGCTAATTCTCTGCCTGGATATATCTTTAGTGATGGCCTAGAGTCATCCTCTTCAGAAAACAAGTTTCTGCAATACCCACTTAGCTTCATTCGTTGGGAAAGAGAACTCTACTCTCAGCTAAGCTCTTTGAGGAAAAAGACTCATCTTTAAATGCCATTTTCCCACTAATTTACCAAAACAAAAGGCAGACTACTTTGCCTAATGTTAGATCAGGGCTTTGAGAAAAAGAAACTAACATGAACACCCCATCATCAATAAAGACTAAAAGCCACCTGGATCATATAATAGTTATATATATATATAAGTTAGGATTCCAGAAATCCAACAGAAGAACAAAATTCTACA